TTGATGAAAATATACTTTTCAGTATAGAACGGAAGGAAAAATAACAACCATCCGGCAACACTCCCATTTTATTAGTTATAGAAAAGAAAAAAAAGAATGCAAATCGTCTATTTCTATAAATATTGCTTACAAAGAAACCTTCGTCAAACATACTCATAAAAAAAGAAAAAATTACAGCCTATTCTCATTCAAATGATGCGTACTACCGACAACATTCAGTTGAAAATGAGTGAAAAAACAAAGAAATCTTCCAGCAAGTCTCTCCCATTATATCAGTTAGAGAAAAGAAAAAAAGAAAGAAGACGCATCTTCTATTTCTATAAATATATCCTGAAAAGAAACCTACATCAGACGTGTTTTTAAGTTTCTTATTCCAACTCATAGGAAAAAGAAAAGATTGCAGACTATTCTCATTTGAATGATGCATACTACCGATGATATTCAGTTGGAAATGAAAGAACCATTGACAATACAAGTAGAGAATCCAGTATCTACTAAGAAAAATACTGTCTGTTTGAGATTTCGACGAGTTTTTACTCTTGATGTTCAACCAAATGAAAAACATCATTATCCAATATTTATTATCATTATGTCTATTTTACATATTTCTATTCATTTGACAACATATGTCAACATCAAATGGAGAGATCAACGTTTTAAAGATTCATTAGATGATCTTTGGATGTATTATATACCATGTATGCGACCAACACCTTACTATATGCATATGCATATCGTCGACTGCATATCATCGATACAAAATGTCACATGTTATTACGGTGACGAGCTCAAACACAAGTGCTTTTCTTTTCTATATCCACATCAATTATGGAGAATGGTTACTATTAATCTACTCCATATCAGTTGGTTTCACTTATTAGTTAATCTGTCAAAACAACTAATCTTGGGTATTTTACTCGAACGTAAATATGGTTCATTTCGGATAGTTATTGTCTACTGGCTTTCAAATGTGGGTGGTATTCTTTGTGCTATGTTGGAAGATAGTCGAAAAAGTAAGTAGTGTTATTTAATTTTCTTTTGTGATGGCATAAATAAATGAAATGGAACGTCGACGTTTTGTAGATTTGATTAAGACTATTTTTGAACATTTTTTTTCTCAATCTAAAATTCATTTTAATTTTTAGGTGTTGTTGGAGCTTCCGGTGCTATATATGGCCTGTTACTAGTTTTCACCGTAGAACGTCTTAATGCAATGAAAACAAATATCGATCATCGCCGTTTCATATTGATGCAATTAGTTCTATTTGCAGCATTTCCTATGGCCATCAGCATATTTTCAGCGGCTATTCTTGGCATAAATGTGGCACATGCGGTTCATATTGGTGGTGGTTTGGTAGGTTTTCTGGTTGGTATCGGTATGTTTGGTTGTCCGTGTCCATGTGCGTCGAATAATAACTATTTTCACTGTCAAATGCCATGCAGATGGATAGCATTTATTTTTCTTTTTATCTACTTTGTTCTTACTTTCACTATTTTTTTTCTAATAGACGCTCCGTATATACCGTGGATTTGGCCAGAATACTAGTTGAAAATTTAGAATTTATAAATAAATAAATGTAAAGTTGTTAGTATTACTAACATCTATCATCGATTTGCTCATCATTTTGAAATGAGAGTATGTGACGAAAAAAAAGAATATGAATAATATAATCACACTTCATCATAACATTTTCTGTATATACAGATGTGTATATCAATCAACATATCTTCGAGAATTTTCCTGTACCAAAAATTTTCTAATATGCTTGAATGATTCAAAATTATTACATATGATCAAAGCTATCTGGTCTTAGTATTCAATCAATCAATATCAATGAGCGAATATTTTGATATAGATTTTTATATAGGTAAAGATCAAACATAGATCTGCATCTACAACTTTATCCTCCAAATGGATTACTCTTGTTCTTAAAATAATTATTGTGTGATATTCTTTTTTGCTCATATTTCATTTTATTTCAAAAATTCAACTTACTTGAATGGACCTATTTGAAAGAATTGAATTTCTTTTTCATCGATTAAATTTTTCAAACTGTTTTGTAGAAGAATAACATTTGATATTTCGTATAGTTTTTTTTTCTAACTATCCATTTGATTTTAAAAAAGAAATCTGACAAAACATTTCAAGGGAAGAAAAATTAAATAAAAAAATACACTTTATTTTTTGATCAAATGAATTTTTAGTGTTTCATAATGAAACTATCGAAATAAATATTGGTTCATTGTTATCTTTTATCTTCAAGAAGAAAAAATATCAATGATTTATATTTTTGTATATCTGCATTCAATATAACAGTCAATATTAAAAAGATAATAAGTCATGA